TCCCGTTGCGGAGCACAGGCTCCGGACGCGCAGGCTCAGAGGCCATGGCTCACGGGCCTAGCCGCTCCGCGGCATGTGGGATCTTCCCGGACCGGGGCACAAACCCGTGTGCCCTGCATCGTCAGGCGGACTCTCAACCACTGCACCACCAGGGAAGCTCTGAACCACTTTTTTAAATAGAGCTATCTGGCCTCAGCTCATTGCTCCAAATGTCTGAGGAATGGTGCAAAGCTGACATTAGAAGGTGAACTTCCAGCGGCTCGTTTCCTGGAGGGGAAACTGAGGCTCAGGGCTGCACCACACAGTACGCGGAGTGCTGTCCATGGTCCTGCCCCTACCTTATCCCAGACCCAGAGAAGGATTTCTCCCGGACCTGCCTCCGAGGGGACAAGCCCCACCCCTTTGCTGAGGCCACACCCCTTCAGCTCATTGATTGATCTCCAGGCCCCGCCCAACTCTTCAGTAGCCCCTGATTGGTTGCATCTAGGCCTCACCTTCCTAACCCTCCTACTTTGATAGCTGTCCTCTAAGAGCCCCAGCCAACTCCCCACATATGATTGGAAGGTTGGGACCGCCTCACTCACTGATTGGCTGGTCCTCCAGAAAGCGCACATTGTGCAGTGCCTCTCCCTGCTTGGCACGGAGGTTCTGCAGCCAGAAGCGGATGATGCTCTGGCGCTCCTGCAGGGGACAGGGCGTGAGCACAGGGAGCAGCCGCCCACGGGCTAGGAATGTGCGCTGGGGGTCAGAGCCGGCCGCACCTGGGAGGTGAAGAAGCGCAGCTCACTCTCCACGTTCTCGTAGATGAAGTCCTCCTCGCAGGAGAAGCCGCGGGTGCCCCCGCCAAACTCAGTCTTCACTGCTTTGCGCAGACCCAGCTCGTCGGCCCCTCTGAGTAGGCTGCAGGAAGGGCAGGGGAGGTGGGATCACGGGGAGACCCTGGCTCACCATCCTGGAACTAGGGATGGTGTACCTGGTGGCCATAAGGGACAAATGCAGGGTGGCTGGACCTCGCAGTTTGTGCTTGGAAGGGCGGGGAGCTGAGTAGCAGGGTCAGCGAGAGGCCAGGGACAGGGACTCGCCTCTCATACGTGGCGGTGACGAAGAAGGCATAGGCACGCGTGTGGCGATGGTGGCGGACTTGCACGATGAGCTCGGGGATGCCCACGCGGATGTGGTTCAGTGGTCATCGGTCGTGTCTGCCAAGGGGCACAGGGACCGATAGCTCTTGCCACGGGTGGTCTAAGGCCTCCTGCAGACTCCTACTCAGGGGAGCCCAGCTCAAGGGAGCTCACTCTGGACCCTGGGGGGATGGACACAGGTACCTGGGAAGGTCATCAACACGTCGCAGTTCTCTGTGGGCACCGTCTTCATCCATGCCTTGTGGGACACCAGGTACCGACCCACCTGCAGGAGCCGCTTCCCAAAAAGCTTATCTGGGGAGCAGGCAGGGCAGGCTGGGGTCAGGCCATTCCCGGATCAGACCCCTGGCCTCCAGTCTTGGTCCCTCCAGCCCTTGCCCCCGATCACACACTTGCCAGGGCTCCTCGGCTCTCAGCTTGGCATTCAAGGCCCTGCGAGCTCTGGCCTTGGGTTGTTTCCTTCCCTCCACGTCCTTGCACCAGCCAGGCCCTTCTCCAGGAATG